CAAAAGGTTGCCCATTACTGACTTAGGTGATCCCTCATTGTCCAAGTATGATGCTTTCGAAGTGTAGTGTCTTGCCAGTGGATACGTAGGTGACTGTGGAGCCCTATTCTTGATCCACATGTTCTTCCGCAGTGAGGGCATCAGTTTCCAGGTGGTAGGTGATCCCAATCAGAGTTGGCTTGACACACCTTCCTCTTGGCACATTCCTCCCTTTTGCCCTCCATTTGTGCCTTTTTGAATTCCACAGCACTGCTGGTCACAGCTGATCTCCAGTTAGAGTGCTCAAGAGCCAGGGTTTCCCAGTTCACGGTGTCTATGCCACAATGTTTAAGGTTAGCCTTAAATCCATCTTTAAATCTCTTTTCCTGTCCAACAACATTCCATTTTTCATTCTTGAGTTGGGAGTACAGTAACTTCTTTGGGAGACTGTGATCGGGCATTCGTACAACGTGGCCAGTCCAGTGGAATTGATGTCACAGGAGCATCGTTTCAATGGTGGTGGGTTTTGCTTCTTCCATCATGCTGACAATTGTCCACCTGTCTTCCCATTAACAGTATCTATCTTACCCATACCTTCTTTCCACTTCTCAAAATAAATCTTTCCAGCACATCATTATTATATTTCTCTGTTGTGAGTTAATTTGCAGTGGTGAATGGGAAGTGGTCTTCATAAATTTGTTGTTGTTGTGTTCAACCCTAAGGTGACCTGATCATGTTTATTTTTCTTGGAGAGATTTGTTCAGAGAAGATTTGCCCTTGCCTTCCTCTGAGACTGGAAAAGTCACCCAGTGGCTTTCCATCGTTGAGAAAGGATTCAAATATTGGTCTATTTATTTATTTATTTATTTATTTACTTACTTTATTTGTATACCGCTGTTCTCAGCCCTTAGGCGACTCACAGCGGTTAACAACAGGAACATCAAAAATTCAATGCTAACAACACAATATTTAAAACAATTGACATCATAGACACATTATACAGTTAACAACAATAACCATTCACTGGCGTCTCATAACTAAAAACATGATCCAAATTTGTCATCCATTGTTTCATTCCTATATTCATTACGCTCATTGCACTATCTATTCAAACGCCTGTTCAAATAACCAGGTCTTCACCTTTTTGCGGAATACCATTAGAGATGGTGCTAGTCTAATGTCCGTAGGAAGGGCGTTCCACAGCCGAGGAGCCACCACCGAGAAGGCCCTATCTCTCGTCCCCGCCAGCCGAGCTTGAGAAGCAGGCGGGATCGAGAGCAGGGCCTCCCCGGATGATCTCAGTCCTAGTGGGTTCATAGGCAGAGATGCGGTCGGATAGGTAACTTGGGCCGGAACCGTTTAGGGCTTTATAGGCCAACGGCAGCACTTTGAATTGTGCCCAGTAGCAAATTGGTAGCCAGTGGAGTTGGCGCAACAGGGGGGTTGTATGCTCCCTGTGTGCCGCTCCTGTTAGAATCATGGCTGCTGAACATTGGGCCAATTAGAGCTTCTGAGCCGTCTTCAAAGGCAACCCCACGTAGAGAGCGTTGCAGTAGTCTAATCGGGATGTAACCTGAGCGTGGACTACCGTGGCCAAGTCAGACTTCCCAAGGTACGGGCGCAGCTGGCGCACAAGCTTTAGTTGTGCACATGCTCCCCTGGTCACCGCTGAAACCTAGAGTTCCAGGCTCACCGATGAGTCCAAGATCACACCCAGGCTGCAAACCTGCGTCTTCAGGGGAAGTGTGACCCCATCCAGCACAGGCTGTAACCCTATGCCCTGTTTGGCCTTGCGACTGACCAGGAGGACCTCTGTCTACAGAGCCACGGTTCCAACACTCAACCCAGTTCACCATGCTGAGTCAATATATAAGTCCCCTCTATATACATTTTACTTGAGTTTAAGATGGATTAAATACAGTTGGACACATGAGAGTTTGAAATTCTATATCATATTCCCAAGACAAAGAAATGTGGTCCTTCCAAAAGGTTTTAATTTCCTTTTGGAAATTAAACTATTACTACTTTAAACTACTTGACCATAAATGTTTACTGTTTCATTCTGTTTCCCTTTTATTAATTCCTATGCCTTGGCTCTGTTCTTTCTTTGCACTGTATTCTAGTATTCTGCTCCTTGTAAACCAGTGGTTCTCAACCTGTGGGTGCCCAGGTGTTTTGGCCTACAACTCCCAGAAATCCCAGCCAGTTTACCAGCTGTTCGGATTTCTGGAAGTTGAAGGCTGAATCTGTTGGCATTTAGCGGAAGTTTTGCAGAGGCTTGGTAGAAATCATGGACTCTGGAGACTTCTGATTACAAAGCAGGTTCAATTTACTTAGAGCAGTTCAAAACACAACAATTCTAGTAAGCGACAAAACATGAAGTACGCAGTAGGCAGAACAAAGGAAGGAGAAGTGTAAACAATCCTGCAGCTGCTTGGCAGATATCAGATACTCCCCAATTTCTCTCACAACTCTGCTCAGAGTATCTCAGGGCTACTATCTCACAGCCTCAAACATAAACATACATCACAGCAATACAATCTTGTGGCACCCATATTACAACTACATGAGATTACATTTAAAACACATTACATACTTTAACATATTCTGACAAAAACATCTGAGGACCCACAGGTTGAGAGCCACTGCTGTAGTGCAACCTGTCCTGAGGAAGACCCCTCTGGACCCAGAGGTACCTGATAACTAACACTTATATCTGATATCTGAGCAAGGTGATTGAAGGCATGGTGGTTGTGCAGCTCCAAATGTTGTTAAGGGAACAGAAGATCTGGACAATATCCTGGCCTAGACAATCTACTCAGAAAATATGTGTTGCTCTGAGCAACTTATTCCAGGAGGATGAAATGATTCTCTGTAGATCCTCCTGAATCCCTCAGTGAACCCTGGTACCATTGACGACATTATAATGGACGACAAATCTAATGGATAGGAGATCTCATCAGGAGTTTTGGGGTTGGGTGTCATCAGTATGTTGGTGGAACTCAGCTCTACTTCTTCTGGGGCTGTTGAGGTTCTGGAGCATTGCCTGGATGCTGTGATGTGCTGGATGAGGGTGAATAAACCAAAAGTGATGCCAAGCCATTGAATGTCTGAGTATTGGTAATTCTTGATTTCAGGAATCGGGTAAGTTATCTACACTGGTCAGGATTGTTTGGAAATATTACTAGATCTATCCTAGTCATTGCAGGCCCAGATAGACTCCAACTGCACTTGTTGCCTGAAGTTTGCTGCAGTTGTGTTGCTTTCCTCTGCATCATTGAGCCTGGTCAGTGTGTATGTATGTCTTTCCCTTCTTGAAGGCCACAGTGGGAGTTGATCTACTTGTCGAGTTATTATTATTATTATTTCTCCTAGTTAGAATTGAGTCCAGAAGAACTGGGATTCAGGCTGAACCAAACTCATGGAACAATGAAGAAACGTAGAAGGTGAAGCCTGCTCATGTCTAGGAAAGACGAATAAATAGAAGTCAAAGGAGGCTGCAATGGTGGGGGTAGAATGGCAATATCAGACATCGTAAATACATTGACATCGTAGTACGTTTTGGCCAATGTGTAGAAAAGAATGGCAAAAAGGTCTGTCAACACTGGTCAACCAATCTGTGAATCTCTGCATTATTGGTTTCTGGCACATAGTTGGCTTACAAAGGGGAAACAAACCTTATGGTTGCTTCACCATAATCAGCCTAGTAGCCACTATTTATGTGTAAAGTGGGAAAATGCTTGGAGCTCTTGGAATGTTGCAGCCAGTGAATGCAGTTAAAGACACACCCTTTCCCTTCTTGTCCCCTGCTTCATACTTCCATCTGCCCCCATCCTCCCTCTCTACTCTCCTCTGTTGTTTTCCTCCTTCCTCCTCTTTTTCCTTGTCTCCACCCATTCACTGTCAGGAAGTGCCGCATCCGAAGGGCTATTTCAGCACAACGTGGCAGCAGCAGAGACTAGCAGCAATGGCAGCTACAACAGTGAGTGGATTTTACTCTGGTGGGGACAGTTGTTTGATTGAAAACAAGGCGATCAGGGGGTTTATTTATTTATTTATTTGGTTTACTTTTACCCCACCCTTCTCACCCCGAAGGGGACTCAGGGCGGCTTACATATCCAAGGCACAATTCGATGCCCGTAACATACAACAATAATAAAACACAATAGCACAAAGTAGCAAACAACAGTACATCATATCTATACCCAATAAAACCCATAAAACCCATAAAAATTTCATACAAACCGATACAAACCAATTACTCCTTATTGCCGGTCAATATTCGCTATCTCATAGTTCAGAGTTTCATTCCACAGTTATCAGTCCTGCCGGTCCTATTTGTTTGGTTGTCCTTACTTAGTTGGCAGATTGCCTGAAGGCCTGGTCCCATAACCACGTCTTTACCTTCCTCCTGAAGGACAGGAGTGATGTCGATGTCCTGATATCCACCGGGAGTGAGTTCCACAGGTGAGGGGCCACCACTGAGAAGGCCCTGCTCCTTGTCCCCACCAGCCTCACTTGGGAAAGCGGTGGGGTCGAGAGCAGGGCCCCCTCAGATGATCTTAAATTCCGTGGTGGGACGTAGAGGGAGATACATTCGGACAGATACACTGGACCGGAACCGTACAGGGTTTTGTAGGTCAAAACCAGCACCTTCAATTGGGCTCGGAACTGAACCGGCAGCCAGTGGAGCTGGCACAGCAGAGGGGTGGTATGCTCTCTGTATGTAGCTCCAGTGAGCAGCCTGGCTGCCGCTCGCTGGACCAGTTGAAGTTTCCGAACCGTCTTCAAGGGCAACCCCACGTAGAGTGCGTTGCAGTAGTCTATCCGGGATGTGACAAGAGCGTGGACCACTGTGGGTTGGAAAGGACTAGCAATTCTATCAAGCATGCTATGGAGTAGGTACTTGGGCAGATTGCACTTCCTGCTACAGCAGTGTTTCTCAACCTTCCTAATGCTGCGACCCCTTAATACAGTTCCTCATGTTGTGGTGACTCCCAACCATAACATTCTTTTGCTACTTCATAACTGTAATTTTGCTCTTGTTATGAAACAATTTGGGAGTTGTAGTTGTTGAGATTTATGGTTCACCTACAATCAAAGAGTATTCTGAACTCCACCAGTGATGGAATTGAACCAAACTCACTACCTCTGAGGATGCTGGCCATAGATGCAGGCGAAACATCAGGAGAGAATGCCTCTAGAACATGGCCATATAGCCTGAAAAAAACCTACAACCCAGTGATTCTGGCCATGAAAGCCTTTGACAATACATTGAACAAAACTTCGCACAAAGAATGCCCATGAGCAACAGAAAACACTGGAAGGGTTTGGTGGGCATTGACCTTGAGTTTGGGAGTTGTAGTTCACCTACAGAGAGCACTATGGACTCAAACAATGATGGATCTGGACCAAACTTGGTACGAATACTCAGTATGCTAAATGTGAACACTTGCGGAGTTTGGGGAAAATAGGCCTTGACATTTGGGAGTTGTAGTTGCTGGGATTTTTAGTTCACCTACAATAAAAAAGCATTCTGAACCCTACCAATGATAGAATTGGGCCAAACTTACCACACAGAGCCCCCATGACCAACAGAAAATACTGTGTTTTCTGATTATCTTTGTTGACCCCTCTGGCACCCCCTGGCGGCCCCTCCAGGGGCCCCGACCCCCAGGTTGAGAAACACTGTGCTACAGTACGGCAATGCAGGAGCACTTGTGCAATCTGTTAATTTTCTCACATTCCCATCTACAAAGAAAAAGAAGGAGCGGATACTCTCTGTAATCATCACTCATGACTTTGTGTTTAAAGCAGAGTGCTCCAGTCAGAGATGTGATGTGTTTTCTTTCAGACCTTTACCACTGTGGCTCTTCTTTCCGCCAATGGTGCTTTCCCCTTTTGGATTCCTCTGCCTGGTCTGTATTCTTCTCCATCCCAGTCCCCTTGACCAACTGCCCATTCCCATCCTGCCTCTTTCCCTGTGTTCTCTTGTCATCTTGGAATCTGCCTTGTCAAGACCACAAGCAACATTTCCCACAGTAGAAACCAGGGGTTCTCAAACTAAAACCCGAGGGCCGGATATGGCCCATCAAGGTCATTTAACCGGCCATCGCTCAGGGTCAACCTAAGTCTGAAATGACTTGAAAGCACACAACAGCAACAATCCTATCTCATCAACCAAAAGCAGGCCCACACTTCCCATTGAAATACTAATAAGTTTATATTTGTTAAAATTGTTCTGCATTTTAATTATTGTATTGTTTTTAAGTTTTTTGCACTACAAATAAGAGTGGAATGTGGATACAACTGTTCATAGAATCATAGAGTTGGAAGAGACCTCCTGGGCCATCCAGTCCAACCCCATTCTGCCAAGATGCAGGAAAATTGCATTCAAATCACCCCTGACAGATGGCCATCCAGCCTCTGTTTAAAAGCTTCCAAAGAAGGAGCCTCCACCACACTCCGGGGCAGAGAGTTCCACTGCTGAACGGCTCTCACAGTCAGGAAGTTCTTCCTCATGTTCAGATGGAATCTCCTCTCTTGTAGTTTGAAGCCATTGTTCCATTTCGTCCTAGTCTCCGAGGAAGCAGAAAACAAGCTTGCTCCCTCCTCCCTGTGGCTTCCTCTCACATATTTATACATGGCTATCATATCTCCTCTCAGCCTTCTCTTCTTCAGGCTAATGCCTAGTTCCCTAAGCCGCTCCTCATAGGGCTTGTTCTCCAAACCCTTGATCATTTTAGTCACCCTCCTCTGGACATATTCCAGCTTGTCAATATCTCTCTTCAATTATGTTTTTTCGAATTATACTCTGGCCCTCCCAACAGTTTGAGGGACTGTGACCTGGCCCTCTGTTGAAAAAGTTTGAGGACCCCTGGTATAAACAATACTGGACTCAGTGTCCCTATGGATATCCCTTATAGCTTTCCAACAAGAGTGGGACAAGCTCAGGTTTGTAGGATTGATGGATGAGAAATAAGACTGAAAAAATTGGGGAAAATGCACACTTAGAATTACAATTGGCGCTTGCTTTCTACTGGGGTTTTGTTCCAGGATGGATGGACGCATGCATGCCATGGATACCACCATCTGTGAATGCTCAATTCCCATTTGATACAATGTATACTCTATAGACCAGACATAGTCTTCCATATCCAGAAGGGAACTGGTGGGCTGCGCCTTGTGATATGGTGGTTGGATCAACCACAGAATAGTGGCATGTGTGAAGTATGGTGGCCTTAGCATCCACTGGAGTTTGGCTTCAGGACCATCCCTTTGACACCAAAATCTTTTTTTTTTTTGGGGGGGGGGATGTTTTCAAGCTGTGGATGGTTAAATCCATGGATACAGGTCTGACTGTAATGAATAGGCATGGATAGAGTCGCTCGGATAACTCGTAGCTCGTAATAATTTCATTAAAATTACCTTTTTGAAGCGATATTGAAGCTTTTTTCTAAAATCGGAAGTACCTTTGCCCTTCCGAAGCTTTTTCCTCCATTTTTGTTACAACTGAGGAAGTGAGTCGGAAATTATTCAGCTTTTCCCCGCTTCTGGTCCCTGGCCTCAGATCAAGCCTGTGCCGTCACGCCCAGATGCTATAACGGTAAAACTAAGGTGTGCTTCTCTCTTTATCTGGGCGAACTGCTGGGGGTCTTTCTTTGAAGCAATAACTCAATACTTTCCGCAACTGATGCCAGTCAAGACATGAAAATCAACAAAATATTTATTTCCAAAGTCCTTGGCAAACTTGGCACAGCTTGATAAAGTTACAACACAAACAGTCAATTTGAAAAACCATAGATATGTTCTTTCTTTCCCTTTTTCTTCAATTACTGAGGTAACCTTTCTCCAAATGGTAGAAAAAATCCTGAGATATTTCACCCTAACCCTGAGCTGCTATGGTTAGAAAGAACAGGTCTTCCTCTATCTAAGCACTAGGTTAGCTTTGGAGATGAAGTAATGCTCAGTAGTACTCAATAACTATTTCTCTCTATAACTCAATTACTATCTCAATATCTTAATCTCTCTCTCTCTCTATAACTCAATATCTATCTATAACTCAATTGTTCTTACAGTGGTTTTTTCAGAGCTCCCTGCCTGACCAGCAGCACATCTGAGGCTCTTTTCTCTACTGAAGGAGGCAGGGGAGATTCCAACATGGAGATCTCAACCCCAGGAAAAAGGGCGGATCCTAACCCATAGAGATACTTTCTAAACCAATAACTGCATAGGGTTTGCAGCCTGGCTCTCCAGACTCTGATACAGTTTAACTTCCAGGGTGCTGCTGGGTCTATAGCAACCCTGAGGAAATGCAAAGGAATGCTATCCCATGCAGCTAAAAGGCAACGTAAACCATGCTCCTGGAAGACGGAACAAAGCCAGAGAAGCCAGTTTTAAACCAGAGAAGGAAGGAATTTTCTGGCCTCGGCTCAAGCCAGAGAAGCCAGTTTTAAAGCCAGAGAAGTCAGTTTTAAACCACAGCAAGAAGGAATTTCCTCTGTTTGCTTTCCCCCATTTCTGGTCCCTGGCCTTGGCTTAAGCCAGAGAAGCCAGTTTTAAACCAGAAAAGGAAGGCATTTCCTTCACTTGCTTTCCCCCGCTTCTGGAGTAAAACAACTATTTGTAGTTGTAGTTCAAGTAGTTCAAAGACCACCCAATGAAACAGGAAATAACACTTTCAAATCATTAACAAAAAGATTCAGAAGTCTCTGAAGTTTCAGAATGTTTTGAAAGAAAAATTCTGTGAAAATCGGTATTGACTTTAGAATTAACCCACCAGCACCCCCTACATTCACAATGAGTTTTGAACCTTTTTTTTTTTTTTGTGGACCAACCAAGCCTAGTAATGAATTCTGATCTAGTAATTAGTTTTAAGGAATTGAACTAAATGGATCCTATCTGATTTTGGAAGATAAGCGAGGCCATCCCTGTTCAGCACTTAGATAGGAGACAAGAGTTGATACCTGGTGTTGTCGGCTA